AATATATATATATATATATATATATATATATATATATATATATTCCTGGTTATTGTATTTTGGTACTTAAGAAGCAATACGAAATGCTAGCATCTACCTCCGTCCGCCTTCTTACTGCTTTGTTCAAATTTATGAAGGGAATCAACTGTTTCAAATTCGATATATATTTTGTATCATAATTTGTTTGCCTAGGCGTGTTGGACTCGTCCACAATCTAGTGGCTTGGTTAACCATGTTTAGGATACAATGCAATGGTTATATTTACGTTTCTGTGTTAGCAGCTCATTGTGATAGCTTGCTGTTTCAAGCGTCTTATCTCACGAGCCAACGGTTCTCAACGAGTAGCCTATTCAGAGACTGTACTGTCCTCTGTGTGTGGACGACTACTGTAAATTCATTTTCTGTTTATGAAATGCCTGAATACGGTGAACTAGTTTCGGCGAATTGTAACAAGTTTGCATATTTTTAATAATGGTTTTCAATACTCGTACAATTAATCATAGTTGTTAGTAGCTGAAGGTAAACTCCAGTCGATTCAGCCTTTTGAACACAGTTTTCCTCCACAAGTCCTGAATTTTGTTATCCCTCATCTCCGCTTTCTTCATTCGGGTGCCTCGATCGCTTGCTAATCCCTTCGTGCAAGAGCGGCCCGTTGACCTATCTGTTTTAGAGTGCGAACGTTGAAGGCACCTATATTAATTCGCATTCTAGGTCTAAGCAAGGGACGAAGGAGGCCTGAAGCTGAATGGTAAGAGACGGAACTTGCCGGCTCAGTGTTACCACGGTTAGCTACATCTGTTGTGGGACCTGTGGAGTAACTATCAGAAATGGAGGTCGGGAGGGGCTTGAGAACTACATTTGTTAGGACAGTGGAGAAGGGGTCAACAGTAGCATGTTTTCGCCTATCTATCCTGCTGTATGCAGCAGATAGGGCGACCCGGTTTATACTGCGAAACGGCGAATGCAGTATGGAATTACTTGTGTTATGACTATTCACGGTTGTGTGTAGGCTGAGATACTGCCAGGGCGCCCAGATCTAGACAGGAGAACGATTAGGGTTTTCAACCAAGGCCTTTGGCTAAAAAGCCTATACCGCAAGGCAGCGGGTGAGTGGCAGTGTATCAGAACTGGTACATTTTTCGGAATAATATACCAGCCTTCTTCTAACTTTCAACTTGGAGGACTAGGAGACTGATTTATCAGACCTCTACCTATTGACCTGCCTGGCATGAGTGACTCTATCGGTGTGGTGGCTACACCGTCCAGTTTAGCCCAATAGGTCATCGAGATGCACAAGTCGTCACACCGCGTCAAGGTCCAGTCTCGTTGTGAAGTGAGTGCACAATGACGCGGGGCAGTGAAAGCCGCAAAGAAGCTGTCTTGCTGATGACGCCTTACTTTCACTTATAGCTTCGTTGTTTGTTTGCAAAGTGTAGGCGCCTTGATGGATGGATATAGACGTAGCTATTTTTAGTGATTATGATCCCTCTTCTTTCCCTTTATTTCCCTTCTCTCTTCCTATACAGGGTTTGCTTTTTCTTATTCATCGTGGTTGCGTGGCAGTTAATCATCAGTGTGAACCACTGATGTATTGCTGTCTATGATGATGATGATGCCAATCTCTTCTACGCTTTCCACTATTGTGCGGTTATTGTAACTCCGCTAATTAATTATAGGCAAGTACAGCTACATTCTTGACGTGGCATCCTGGCATGCGTTTCGTGCAAGATCATTTGAGCGCCGTGAAATCAGATCGGGAAAGACAGGTGTTATGAAGGATGGCATAAATAGTATAGATAACATTTCTCAATACAATCACGGACATCATATCACACAAAATGAGATGCACAAAAGAACAAAGAAATAACTTCTTAATTAGTTTGAGAGATTAACGTTTCCACCACAGTTTGCTGTTGTTTGCCACTGACATTGAGGAGCGTTGTGTCCTTTACTGAGGTGGTAAGCGGAGTTCATAGGGAGCAAACGTTAAGACTAGTTTTTAAGTCACTATCTAACTGTTGCGTCGTATATCTCAACTGACCCCGGATCCCGTAACTAAGATGTTAATAGGCAGATGGTGAACTACCATCTGGAGCATGTCTCCTGGTACGATGATTGCATCGCTGTCTACGGAGGTGTTGAGATTACTTTCGATAAAACAGGTTATCTGATCATATTGTTACTCAAGTGATGATTACTTCATATTCGGGCAGTTATGCAGACAAAGGCGCATACTCGATTAGTACATTCCGTCCGACTTACTTGAGTTTAGTGGCCCCTATCGGGACAAGATGTTAGATACATTCTCTCCGTTTTGGCGAGGCGTACGTCCTTTCATCATGATCAGCTAGCTGTTGAGAGCCCTTAGGCTGATATTGAGATTGAAAGTGGTTTTGATTATTAATACACGCTTGTCACTACCGTGTAAACAGTGCGACTGCCGACCGCAATCCAACTACACGTGCACTTATTCGCCAGGCAAACTCACTTCACAGCTGATCTCCGCATGTTGGCCGCTCTGCAATCTGGATGCGTATGATGCTCCTTAGC